TCCATCATGCTTTCTCTGAGGAGAGCTGGCACTACCCTTCACAAATAATTAACAAAATAAAATAAAAGCCTGTGCTGTTCAGGAGGATCCATGGGGGGGGGGGGGGGGAAAAAAAAAAAAAAAGAAAATAAAAGCCTGTGCTGTTCGGGAGGATCCATGGGGGGGGGGGGAAAAAAGGCAACACATTACCATACCATCCAAGTATTTTACTTTTAGAAATTCCAACCAGCACACTTCCAAAACTAGCTGGATGGCAGCAGGACATCACAATGGGACTGTATCCTCTCAGCTCAGCCTTTGATAAATTAAAGCCAGAGCATTACAATGAGGAGATCAGGTACTACTATTTCAGATCAACGACAAAAGATCACTGACTTTAAAGCATTTCTCACTACAGGAAAGAACTGCAACAAACTGAAAGGCATAAATAATTAGACTGAGACCAGGTGGCATTTCCTCCTCAGTCTTAAACGTCAGTTCAGCTCCTTCCTACTCCTATACTTCCCTCTTGCACCACTTCCAATAAGCAAAAAACACAGGATTCTAAATCTGGGCTACCTCTGACAGTGGCTCACACTCAGAGAAGCACAGCATCAAATTGGATTTTCACAACAACTGTTGGAGAGAAGCTTGCACATGGAAATACAGCTTTTTTTTGTATTGTACATGACAGGACACTTCTAACCAGCCATGTGACAAAACAACAGAAGACAGGATTTTCCAAGTAGGAACCCAAGAATGCTTTCCCACACACAATTTTTAACACTCCTTTCATGGCAGCCGATACAAACACTTACTTAATAGCGGTGGTCATACTCTGTGCTTGCTGTTGAGTGCCATTATTGATTGTGTTGGCATTTTTCAGCTGGTTCATCTGTTGCTGAGTTTGTGTGCCTCCACCTCCTGGGCCCCCGCTGGGTTTTACAGGGCCTCTCAACTGCCCATTCTGACTGGATAGACCCATTATAACAGGGTTCTCTGTTCTGGCCGTGCTCATGCTTTTATCTTTAAAGATGTCTTTTTAGACTTCAAAACTTTGAAAGTCAGTACAGAAACTGTAATAACAGTTTATTAGACTCTCCAAAATGAAGAGATAAATAAGTCTTGCTCAATATATGAGTCCTTTATTGCAATGCAGGCAAGCACCTGTAAGTCACTCAAAAGTAAAGCAGTAACTTGCTCTGATGCACTGTGGAACAACTTTTTTTTAAAAAAAGCCCTCTACTGAAGTTCAGTTATATCACAATTCACTTGCTTCAATCTGAAAGAGAAGCAGACAATAACAATTAGTATGTGGATTTTTGTCTATGCAAATCACATCAGTTTACTCACGTAATTTAAGAAAAACTTCTTCCCAGGCAGTGTGCAACAACAGTACTTGCTTTTTTGTTTCCTCAGTGATAATTATAAAGACATGCTTCAAACTTTTTTTGCCTTTCTAGAAAATATTGCCTAACATCTTCAAACACCAAAGAAAATTTCCCAAACAGTTGTACTTTCAGCGACCTTCCACTACCTATCCCCTCTCACAAAGTAACCATTAGGTGTATCAATTGCTCTGATGGCTCTTCAATTTCCCCACAAATTCCCCCACTTCCAGGATGCAGCCAACCAGCCCTAAAACATGAAAAATATTATGCATAAGTTTGTGACGAGAACCAAGACTACAACAGCAAGTGGACATTCTTGTTAGAACTGACAAAACCCTTACATTACACTGACTGCCCTGCTCGGTTTGACTGTGAAACACAGATTATGTAAACCCAAAACCACAGCTTACACTCCTCCAACCCAAAATGCTAGCTCAACCAGCTTACCCCCAGTTTTCAACCGGGCATTGATTTAAGGCTGTTCAGGAGAGTGATGAACAACACCATTACGCTGAATTGAGAGCAGCTGCCTCTGAGTCGAAGTGACAGCTTGAACTGAGACAGTAACGCTGCTGGCTGTGCAGCTTCCTGCTTGTGATCTTACCTTCCTGCTGTCACTGACAGCTTATGAGGTGCTCGGAAGATAACATTTCATACACATGACTTAATATTGACTCTATGTAACAGAAAAGTTGAAAACTCTGGAAAGACAATACAAAGTCTGCCCCTTACATAAAGCAAGCATGGACTAGAGATAAAGACTCCTTACAATGGTACCAGGGAGACAAAATGTCTCTAGCCCAAAATTCTTTTGGAAAGTAGGCTCAACTTGAGCATTTGCATCTTGGGAAAACGTAAAGGGAAAACCAGCAGACTACTGCTTCCTAACCTCGGCATTCACAACAAAATGCATGTTTTCCCAGTGAATAAAAAAGCACAGTGAAGAGCATTTCAAGAGAGTGGGAAAGAAATTCAGACTTCCCAGCTGTCTTAAGGTGCGTCAGTGCTGGCTTCCAGCAAAATTTTAAAGTTTGCGATACTAGGATTTCCTGCTAGTTAACTTTCAAGGCATCTTCGAAAAGGTATTTATCTTGGCCATTAACTTCGTAAAAACCAGAGGAGTTACGAAGGTAGCCAGACACGCCAATGAGACCCGACTACTAACGCCGAGAAGTTCTCCAATAGCGTAGGAAATGAAACCTCTCTGTCCCTTCTGCCCACACGCTCCTAACTATCCTTTAGAAGTAACACAAGTTAAAAAAAACGCACAGCCTCACGGAACCAAAAAAAAAAAAATCTCCCTGTTCCGATAAAAGAGACGCCACCATTTCGCAAACCAACGGACTGAGAAAAGAGGGCCTCCATCACATATCTCTCTGCTCTCCGGGCGCGGGCGGGCGGGCGGCCGGGCATCAGCCCGGGACCTTTCCCTTTCCGCCGGCTGGGCCCGGCACAAAGAGAGCCCTCGAGGTGCTCAGTGTGTCCGGTGAGCCCGGGCCGCAGTGCGGAGCCCCGGGGCAGAGCGGTGGGCCCGGCGCCGCCCGCCGATCGCAGCTGCGCCACACCAACACCTCCCGCCCGCGAACAATGGAGCGGCCGCAGTTTGCCGCCCGGGCCGGCGGGCAGCGAGAGCCGCCCGGGCCCGGCCCCGCCCCCGCAGGCCCCGCTCAGGCCCGCGCTCTCGCCGCAGGCCGCGAGGCGCGGCCCGCCGGCAGTGGCCCCCTCGCCCTGCTCCCACGGAGCCATGCCCGCCCTGGCCCGTCCTCACCGCCACCAGCCGTGCTCCCCCTCGCCCAGGTACAAAATCCTCTCGCTCCCCCGGTGCCTTGTTATGGCGACTCGACGCTCCAAGATGGCGGCTTCCTCCTTCCTCCTGTGCGCCCTCCCCCTCCCGGCGGGCGGCACCGCCCCGCCCCACACGCACCACGTACGTACGTACGTTCGGCGTGCGCCACGCGTCACGTCCCACCCAGCGCGCTGCGCCTGCGTGACGGCGCTGGCGGGGCTCGCGCTGCTCCCTCAGAGCTGGCCCTTCCCTCGTAAGCTGGAAATGTAACGGGGCTTCGCTGTGTGGCCATTAAAACAGAGCCAACACAAACGTGAGAATGAGGGACTGAGCCACAGACTGTAGGAGTCGTAACCGGCGACCGTGACAGGCTGGCGATTGGCATTTCTTTTTAGACAGCTGTTACTTAGACGTGGATTTTGACAAACCGAGACACAATGGGAGTGTAATCTTAGTGGTTACTGCAGACCGTTTTTTCTTCAAATGTTTTGCAAAAGGGCAAGAACATTCCTGGTTTTATCTAGTTCCTCACATGCACAGCTGTCTGTGGGTGGTTTTTTTCCACCCTGAGCAGCAAAAGGCACAAACCCCAGGCTGCAGTTGTGGCTGGTTGAGAACATCCCGACCTGTCCATCTCCGGGGCGCGGTGATGCCGCACTCCTGCCTTAGCGCTCAGGCCTTGCAGCGCAGGGCTTGCTCAGTGTGTGCTCTCCGCGAGTGAGGCGCAGTGCGAGCTCCCTGCGGCCTCCTCCGGCTTGGCCGCTCTCCATCCTCCCGGGGGAGCCGTGCCCAGAAGCTGATGAGCACATGCAGGTGCACACAGAGGTCCTCACGGCAGGGGACGACAGCGACATCCTCGGGGCAGCAGGTGCCCAGCAAGTGGGGATCTAAGAAACAGGAGGAGTGGTTGTAACCCAGCAGTGCTCGTGAGAATAACACCACCTCCTCCTTCACCAGTCCAAAGTCCCACCAGAGTCCTTGCTGGTGGAGAGGCCTTGATGCAGCTGTAGCTAGACAAGAGGAGGACAAGAACTGTGCTTGTCAAACCACCTCAGCTGCTCGCACAGGAAAAGCTGTCTCCAAAATGCCAGCTGCAATGCCATCCTGCTCTGCTGACCCAGACTAGGGCATTCTCACTGTGAGTCTGCTGCTGTGACATCACTGAACAAAATGCCCATTTCCCCGAGCAGGGAAAATCTTGATTTCCTGTCTTGACCCTGTAAAGTCAAGCTGCCCAGCCCCTGCTAGCCCTGCTCTAGACTTGCAGAGTGACTGCTAAGGCTTTGTTTTCCTGTGCAAGCCACCTCACACTCCCCTAAGCCCAGACGAGGGGTGAAGCAGCAGAAAAAGGAGCAGAAAACAACTACAAGTCACTGGGGTTAAAGCAGCCAGGAGGACCCCAAGGCAGAGAATGATGATCATACAGACCATACCCATGTTCAAAGTCCTGCACAGCTCCAGAGAAGTGTCTGGATCCAGGAGGTTTCTGGTAAGGGTGGTCCTTAGCACAGAACTTTTCAAAGCCTTTCAGACCACCTGTAACAAGGACAGCTGTGGGCAAGAAGGTTTCCAGGGAAGACCTAAAGATGTTCTGGATCTTCTGCGGTATGGACCAAAGGAATATGGACTCTTCAAACTGTACTTTAAAAATCAACTTACAGCACTAGTAAAAAGATTATAAAGCTAGATGCTAATCTTTACATCAATCAGGTCCCTCTATGCCTGTAGCTCATTTGCCTTGCAAATACTCTATTGTTACATTCTGTGCCCCTCCCCGCTCACTTAAATTATTAACTCCACCCCAGAAAAGAACTTTTGTAGCAATTTCTGGAGGAGAGACGGATCCTGCCCCTCAAACCATGGGGCCTGTCAGCTACTCATCAGAGACCTATGACTTGGTGAGTTGGGCCTGGCTTTGCTTGATAACAGGGACGGCAGGTAGAGCTGGGGTGGGCTGAAAGGCCAGGTTTCTGGCCATCCATCTTCTAACACTCCTGTTGGCAGAGGCAGAGCTTGCGCCATTTCTTATGCCAGCATAATCAGTCCTTGCATCCCTTAAGTCCAGACTTGACCACAAGCTGCTGCTTGCAGAGAGCTGGCATAGTGTGGCTACAGCCACTGTGATCCAGGGGTACTGGGTATTCTGCTGGGGAAAGCTGCCGGGACCTGCGCTGGCAGGCACTAAGCCCGAGCCCTGTCCTTGCATGAGGACACAGACCAGAGTCTCTGCAAAGGGCCAGGTGACTCACCTGGAGAGTGGGGCTCCAGCAGTCCCATTCTGTGCTGCCAGCCTCTCCCAGCCTCTGCTTCCTGCTGCCCTGCTGTCTGCACAGCCATTAGCACAATGTGGGCATAAAACACTTATTCTGAGCCGGGCACCTTTTGCACCAGGCTTCAATGATACAAATGACTGTGTGCACAGCGTGCAAAGCCCTGTACACCTTATCTGGTCTCCTTTGGCAACTGGAGTACCCAAGCAAACCCAGTCTTTTCTCTCCGTGTGTGAAAACCCTTGGTATGACCACCCTGCTTGCTTGCTCCACATACAAGCTTCCATACATATGGCTCTACATACACACAGGCTTCACATACACTCTGCTGAAAGGGGAACATGCTGTATAGTTACAAGAGAGGAATTTTAAAGAGTGCAAGATAAGCTGCAAGTACTACTCCTAACAAGGAGTGATGACACCAGGTATTCTACCTCATAGTTCTCTTCCCAGCCTTTACAAGTGGAAAAGAGCAGCTGCACCTTATAGATTGTGTTGTGCTATCCAACAACAAGGACACAGCAGCATTATCATTAGCCTGGTTTTCAAATATTGCATCTCAGAATTAATTTTTTTACTACAGTGGTTCCTTGCAGCAGACCTCAGGATTAGTTATTCCAAAAAGAGAAATGTTGGATTCAATTGTTACCAAATTTTCTGTTCCTCCTTTTTTCCTACACAGCAGGGAAGAGCAAGCCCTACCCTATTTATTTATTTTCTGATTCATCCAGTATAAAAGTCCTTTGCAAATGGTGGTCATTCCTTTAAAACTTTCTTGGAGAAGACACTTCTTTCCCAGACCTCTGTTGAAGTTCAATGGCAGCCCTAAAATTTGCTGAGAGGTTAAAACCAAACTCAAACCTTTTTCACCTCCTTTTCTTTGCATACAAAACTTTCCATAATCCTTAGCTTAGTGATTTTATCTCTGCTGTGAATTCTTTTACATCATAAAGGAAACCCCATGTGAGGGGCGGGAGGAGGGTTGGGTGGGGGAACCCAGCTGATTTTAGGAAATTTTAGGACTAGACGCCCACAGTCAGGTGCCACAGCAGGAAGAGTTTTAGACCTTTTCTCATACTTCTGCAGTTGGGAGTTTTTTCCCACCTCTGTCTCCTGGCAGCTTCCCAGATTTGGCTCCCTCCCTGGAACACAGAGGCCATAGATATCACATGAGCATCTCTGTATTTGCTTTGGTGGTGCCATATGTTGCTTTACTTATACTCAGTGCTTGTAGCAGCAACCTACCCATAAATATTTGAAAAAAAGGCCTCCATAGTGTCTTGTCAAGGTGGCAACACAAACCCTGCCTTGTGCAGAGAGGATCATTTGATCAATTGAGTAATTATGAAAGAAAAATTATGAGAACGTTTACACCGAAAGAGCATTTATCTCAGTATCACACAGTGGACACAGTGAGGGCCTCACTTAAATTTTGGTACCATATGAGACCATTTGACTCTGTAACCTTGCAGAAAAGTACCATGCCCAAAATGATAACCCTGTTTCTCCATACCAAAAATGCTTTGCCTGCTAACCTTCCTCAGCTGTGGACTAGACATCCAAAAACAAGTTGCAGAAGAACCACTGAGATCTGCACCAGGTTCCCTGAGGTTACTCAGGCCAGTTTTCATTGCAATGGGACCAAAATGACTTAAGAGTGTTAAGGCACCTACACTGCAGTAACATGGCATTTCCACAGGCCTTGGTCTTATTCCTGGATTTCCCTGGTTCAGCCCCTGCAGAAGTCATGAGCAGAAGCTCTGTCAGTAGATAGTACGGATGTAGGCAATTGCATTTCTAAGGTTTTGAAAATGAGATTTACTGCTCCCAGCCCTGGCATTAACTAAAAGGGAATGATTCCCATGGAAAATCCGTAACAGTGGACAAGCTGCTTCACTTCTACAGCCAAATATTTTGATCACTGATAGTTGTGGGGAACTGAGAAAAACAGCTGACACACGGAGACCAGAATAACTCTGTGATGCAGGTTATAGGGTAAAGGGATCCCTGAACAAAAAGCATGCAGGAACAGCTTTCCCAGGCATGCACTTGACTGCTCTATTACAGAGACAACCCTTTTTCTCCCACCCCCAAATCTGCTGCAGTTGTCATGCAGAAGACCTGTACAAAGGTCCCTCTGCCTGCTCAATGTTGATTTATCCCATCCCAGATCAAGCACCCACCCACTTCCAGTCCTAGAATTGCAGCAGAGTTCCCAGAAGCCTCAGTTTGCCATATTCAGTGCATCTCCTGCAGCTCTGGTCCCTGCCCTTCCTGTCTCAGCCCAGACTCTGATTTTTCATCCTCTTTGTCTCCAACTCATCTCTGTGTGCTCCTACCCACATGTGCTGCTCTGCTCAGACATGCAGGCAAGGACGATTCAAACACAGCTCCACACACGCTTCCCCCACCCACAGTGAGTGGTTTAAGAGCCCTCCCTACCTGCTCCCCATCAGCAGTCAGATGGTGTCTGAGAGTGGCACTCAGCCTCTGCACTTCCGGCTCCAAATACAAGGTGATCTGGAAACTGGTCAGCAACCAAAGCTGCTGAACGCTGCCCAGGCTGCCCATCCACTGCCATCGATGGTGCTGGCATGGCTGCAAGGGAGGACTCACACTCCAGCCAGCAAACCCTGCTGTTTTCCATAATTTCATTTTTCCTTCCAAAGCTGGAATTGTCCAACCTCTTCCTAGTGAAATTTCCCATTCCAACATATAATCTGTTTGGGGTTTTCAGCACAGTCACCTGCACAGCCTGAGCAGCCTGGTTTGGTCACGACACAAAATTGGAAAGGTTTTTAGGTTGTTTTGCTTTTTATAGAGAGGTTCAAGGATCTGGCCTTGGCCAACACATCACAGATTTCTGTGTGTTGTTAGCTCCTCATGAAAGGTCTGGGTACAGAGTAGGCAGGAAATACTTTCAAGCTGGATAGGAAAATAACTGGGAGGGATTTCTTAAGGCCCAAAATCATACTCTAAACCAGAAAAATAAAAGTTCTTTGGTAATACAAAATGCTTCTCACCAAAGGCTTGCAGCCCCACAGTTAGATTAGCAAGAGCTGGGCAGGGTTATACCACACTTTTCCCAAGGACTCATTCCCTTGGGAAAACTGGAGTGCTCTTAGGGAGTGGACCCTCCTACCATCCACTGCTTGGGGACTGCCTGTGCCTGCTCTCTGCTCTACGAGTTTGGTAGTGCCCCATAGACTTATGCCCCATCAGCATGCCCAGGCTCCTCTTGGAACCATGCAGGTGGTGTCAGTAGCAGAGGAGTTTAGATAAGCCCTGCTGCTGTCAAGTGACTTCTTTACCCCCCACAACCATGTGCAGAGGCATTACCCAGGGAAAGCTGCCTGAGAGAGAAGAAACATAAATCACTCTTCCTTAGCTAGGTACAACACAAGACTCCAGGCTGGTCACAGTAATTTTGCTTAGTAGCCCCTTGGGTGAGCAAAAAACCCCAAAATCAGGTCTAAAACTGTGTAAAGCAGGGCTGGTATTTTTAGACAGGAACTTTGGCTGATGAGGGAAGGAGCAGCAGGTGCAAACTGCTGCAGCTGGCAGTGAAAGGTATGAAAGCATTAGCAGAGACTTCCGCTGTGGTCAACACTGAAGTCTCAGCACAGGTCTCCAGAGAGGGTGTGGGTGGGGGACCTCAGGCTGACTGCTGCTGAGCTCTTCCCAGTTGTCACTAATATTCAGTTTGCCACAAGCCTCCTCCACTGCTCTCTTTTTGTGTAAGGCCAGCTGAAGCATGACCACGATCCAGGGAGCTTATCCTGAGCAGAATTCCAGCTTCCTGGTACTTGAGACTTGCCCTCAGCTTCAGCCTGAATGCAGGCGATCCAGAAGACACAGCAAGCCAAGGGCTAGTCACATCTGCAGCAGCTCTATTGCACTTCCCTTACTGGATATTAGTCTGGGGTCTGAGTGGTGTTTTCCCTTCTCTTTCCTGCTCTGACTGCAATTAATTCACAACAGAAAGGTTTATCTACAGAACAGATCTCTCTCCATCATCTATTCCTGCAGCTATGGCACCACAGCGCCTCAGAGGTGCTGTGCACACTCCTCCCATTGTGTTGAACACCTGCCCCACGCCTTCCTCCGAGTGTGGGAAGCGATCTCAAAGGGCAGCTGCTGCTGACCCCACCTCACCTTGCTCTGTCGTAGGCAGCTCTCAGGCCTCTGAGGATGACAAGAAGGGGACAGGTTCACTGCACAGAATTTGAGGTACAGATGTGCTGTGTGATGAATCCTACCACCTTTATACCTGACAGCAGGCAGCAGGCAGGACAGGAGTGGTCCATGTAGGAAATGGGTGGGAAAAATCGGGAAAGCTGGTAGAGGACGGTTCCATTCTATGTGAGAAAGCAAACTTTGCCAGCAGGTAACTTGGCAAGAACCAGAAGATGAAACTGATCATCTGATTGGACTCCAAAACGTCCCCAAATACTCCAGTCAAAGATTACAGACTGAGCAGCCCTCACTGTCACAGATGGAGAAAACCTTCTCCACCTGCTGCTGCACCTCCTGGCAGTAGAGGGGCCTCCTACGCAGGAGGGGCCTCATCCCACTGCAGACAGCATCACCTCGTGGTGCAGGTGGGCTGCAGGACATGGGGGTGCTCTGCTCTAGGTCTGTCAGGTGCAGCTGGGGGACTGGGTTCTTGTGTTGAGAAACTCCCCTCCATTAACAAGACTCTCTCTGTTCCCCAGAGCCAGGTGGAGCTGAGCGGTTACTACGAAGCTGAGAACACCACCCCTTCTTTGGAGGGCTACTTTTGCTTCAACCCAGCCTCATCTGTGGTTGGCAACCAGGGAGACCCCTTCAGAAAGGTCTTCATGCCCCTCATCTATCTGCTGATGTTTGTGTTGGGGACTCTGGGAAATGCTCTGGTCCTGGTCATTTTAGAGAGGTTCAAGCGGTCTCGTACCACCACAGAAAACTTCCTTTTCCACCTCACCCTGGCCAACCTGGCACTGTTGTTCACCTTCCCATTCAGTGTGGTGGAGAGCTTGGCTGGGTGGGTGTTTGGGAAGTTCCTCTGTAAGATACTCAGTGCTGTCCACAAGATCAATTTCTACTGCAGTAGCATGCTGCTGGGGTGCATCGCAGTGGACCGTTACCTGGCCATCGTCTATGCAATCCACACCTACCGCAAGCGCAGAGCTCGCTCCATCCACCTCACCTGCGCGGCTGTCTGGCTCTGCTCACTGCTTCTGACTTTACCCGATCTCGTCTTCATGGAAGTCTGGACAGATGACAGCAACCGCAGCATTTGCTATTTTCCAGAGGTTGGGATTGATGGAAACAATGCATGGCTGGCAACTCGCTTCCTCTACCACACCGTGGGCTTCTTTGTGCCCCTGCTGGTCATGAGTTACTGCTACATGGCCATCATCCGGGCACTGTGTCAGTCCCAGCGCCTGCAGAGGCAAAAAGCTGTCCGTGTGGCCATCCTGGTCACAGGCATCTTCCTCCTGTGCTGGAGCCCATACCACATCGTCATCTTCCTGAACACACTTACCAAGCTAGAAGCCTTCACCAAGAGCTGCCATCTGGAAGACCAACTGGACACAGCCATCATGGTGACAGAGGCCATCGGTTTCACACACTGCTGCCTCAACCCCATCCTCTACGCTTTTATTGGGGTCAAGTTCCGTAATGACTTCTTCCGGATCCTTCAGGAGCTTGGCTGCATAAGCCAGGAGACCCTGCAGGAGATTCTGGAGGTGACAAGGAAGGGTAGTGGGATAGAGTCTGACAACACCACCTCCATCTCCACTTTCTAGCTGGGAAAGGCTGCCTGCAGGGCAGAACTGGGTTTTTCCTTCCCAGTGGCACACTTGCTGTGGTCTCAGTTACAAGTTTCACAAGCATCCCCACAACTTCCTTCACTCCTCAGGAAACAGGTCCAATAGCCACCAAACACCCAAATCGCATCAGACACCTTGCTTGGCTCTTCCTGGTTCTCAAACTTGTAGAGATCCATCTGGCAGCTGTTGGTGAACGCTGATGTCTGATGGTTGCTCTTGTGGAGCTGAATGAAGATGGGCACTCAAGTGGGCTGAACCTGACATTCCCACCTCTCCCTTGAAAAGCAGACTGCAGGCATCTTGTGCACAAAGCCAGGCACAGGACTGGGGTGCCAGGGTTAAGGAAAAATGTGCAGCCAAGTAAATGAGTCATGTCAGTAAGCAGGTCTCCATTTCACTAGCTAAGTTGGTACACATATGCTCAAGGGAAGCTGTGAGACTCAGTGGCCATTGCAACTGGAGAGATGCAGGTAGGATTGATGGGGGCTGCAAAGCTCAATCCAACAGCATGGGCACACAGTGCTGGACGTTCTTTGACTGCAACATTGTCCTCCTGCTGCATAACATCCCCTCAGCCTGCCACAACACGTTCAACTTCCCAACACAGCTCGTGCCAGGAGGTCCTCCCACAGACTGAAAGATTTCAGTGTCACAGACTCCTTTCCTGACACCAGTTGCATCCTTTCCCACTCATTTGATCTGTTTTACTGCTGTTATGATCTCCTGTGAGTGGCTGCTCAACTAAATGCAGACTGAAAGATTTCAGTGTCCTGAAACAGACTCCTTTCCTGACACCAATTGCATCCTTCCCCACTCATTTGATCTGTTTTACTGCTGTTATGATCTCCTGTGAGTGGCTGCTCAACTAAATGCCTGACTATGCAAAAGTTTTCCTTTAAGGAGGAACACCATCTGAGGAGATGTCTTCTGTCTTGTGAGCGCACATAGGGGAGAGAAACCACACAGCCTTGTAAAGGTGATGGTATAACTTTTTTTTTTTTTTTTTTTGGCAGCTAGTTGTATGGCTATTTATGGGTTCTGAGAGCAGAGACCCACTGCCCCAGAGTAAGGGAAAGTCTCCTTTGTTTTTAGCAAGGCTAGAGGAAATGTGGCATTTTGCTTTGCACTATGCTTTCTGTTAGTTTTCCTCCACCTGCACCTACAGGGCTTTCAGAGATTAACTGCATCGAGGTCTACAGAGAGCAGACCTGGGTGGTGATCTTGCCCTAAACTGCAAGTATGCAGAAACTGCTCAGATCAGGGCAGCTTGATGATAATTTGCTTCAAAGTAAGAGCAGCAGCTTTCCCCATCATTAATTCTTACACCACAAGCTGGTGTGTGGGGAAGCCCCAGCAGACTCAAGACAGCTTGCTGCTGCCTAGGAGGTCTTGTCACAGTTTAACATGGCAGCAGGCCCACAACACTGCTCCATGACATTTCTGTTCCTAAAGAGTGCTGTGGCCAGAACTGTAGGAGAGCCATACATACCAATGTCACCCTCCTCATATGCACACTTTAAAATCTCCTCTACCCTTCACTTCACATTTTAAGCAATGTTGAAACAATGTTAGTTCTCCTGTTGCAGCAGGAATTTTGTGCTAACCTCACTTCTGAAGTTCATCCCACTAGCAGGCAGCTCAGTTCCAGGTGAACTTCACCGTACTCAAGGGCCCTGCTATAAAGACCAGCCACATAACCTCAGCCTGACTCAAGCAGAGATCTCAATAGCTTGATCTCACATTGTGACTTGAGGAGAAAACTCATCTACTATAAGGCAGTCCTCCATTTCCTGCAGCACTGCATCTTCAAAGATGAAACTTTCAGGTAATGGCAACTGTGCTTGTTCAGGCACATACATGCAGCAGAGAAGGACAAGTCTCTTAAGCCTGCACTTGTGTTCTCCACGGTTGTACCAGTGAGAAAATCCATTGCAGAAGCATTGTAAACACCTCCCCAGCAGGTTATGGTGACAACAGTGTTTCTACATGAAAATGTTATTGAAATAAATAATAATCAAAGTATTCAATAATAATCAAAATTCTTACAGTGGTCACAAAGTAAAAATCTGCACTCAAATGAGAGTGAACAGACTACACATCTATTGTTACTATAGCTTTTAGCACTGGTATGTACAAACCTTTAGGAAGTTTTGAGGTAAGATGTAATAAACAGGTGACTAAAACACCATCTTCTCATGTGTAGAGCTTGTAAGCGTTTGTCTGTAGCTGTGTCACTTTATTCAAGGGAGATGCATCAGAGAGGATTAAGTGGGCAGATGGCACCTTTCTGACAAGCTCTGCTCAAAGGGCTTAGAGGAGACCTTGCTCAGATTCCCCTTCACCAGTGCCACAGAAGGCTTTGCTGTGTTCAGAGTCAGTCCAGACCTGTATTACCTCTCTGCTTTACGGAGCCTGTTCCACTAACTGCAGCACCTCCTGCCCCAGTTTTACAGCAGCTGCTAACCTGACTGGAAAGCTGCCCTTACACCTTACATTTGGCCCAGACAGCCTGGGAATGGCTTGGCTCAGAGCTGGCAGACCTTCCCCAAAGAGTTGCCATTGTTCCTCCCACAGCTGCCTGCAGCCGGCCTGCTGAAAGTGGATAAGAAGAAAGCAAGAAGAACTTTCCTTCACTGCAGAAGAAGCTCTGCTTTCCACTCAGCAAAATCCTTGCTATCTCCTCAAGGTTTGCATGGCTGTCACAACACCTTCCCCAGAGTGGGCTTCCCTGCTAAGAACTCACACTGCCAAAGCCACCCCTGCAGCCCTCGGGCAGACCTTCATCCTCCCCTGTGTAGCTCTGCTCAGCCCCTGTGCCACGGCTGCCGAGTGAGGCAGATGCACTCTGCCCACCCAGGCCACCGGGAAGGGAGACTGAGCCAAGGGGAGCTCCAAGGCAGCTCCTGCAGAAAGCAGGGAGATGATGCGTGGGATGGCGGTGCCACCACCCTCCACAGCACAGCCTCTGCACCTCCAGCCCGGACTGTGCTCTGCGAACGAGGCTCCAGCAGACAAACCAGAGGAAGCCCTGGTCTCTGATGAAGGCAGCCCCAGAGATGGGAACATGAAGACCCTCACAACAGCACACTGCTCTGCATTTCCTGCAGGGCAACCAAGTCTCCCAGGAGACAGAGCTGGGGTTCCAGCAGAGCATCCTGCTACACACACACAGTGATCACAGGGCCATGGCAGGCAGTGGAGCATGCACGGGTGAGTGCAAGTAAGGGAACGCATGAATGAATGTGTGCCTGGGAGTGCTGCAGAGAAGGGGCTCCCTCGATACCCACGCAAACCTTCCAGCACCTCTCACACTCTGTCTGTGCTGCAGTTCTGTGGAAAATCATGTGGAAAAATACAGGCACAGGGTCAGGTCTTGAAATTTGTCTTTTTAATAAAAAGGCACCTATAAAACAGGTCAATACATTACAGGCAGCACAGATACCCAAAAACAAGCCTAAAAATTGTTTCAAATAAAAACCAATAAGATGTCTTCACATATTGTATTTATATATTTATATTTATATATATATATTTATATAATGGTACAAAATGACTGGGGAAGTTTCTCCATGGGATGACAGAGAACAGGTCAGTCAACTTTACCTCAATGTGAAAGCTAATTCCAGGTGTGTGATTATCCAACATACTGAAAGATGCAGTTTCCCAGCATTCGCTTTTTTGGAGCTGGAAAAACATGGCAAAGTCATGGCTAAAAGATGGGCAAACCTTCTACTGTGATTAGGTGGAGTCAGTACACAGAACTCAAGGTGAGGAGCCGAGCAATAAACTACAAGACACAAGACTAGACACAGGTCACGGCAGTGGGCAACCAGCTGATGGCAAACCTTGCCCGGGTCTAACAAGGACTGGCTGTCACTGAGCCTCCAAAGGAACTCCTGCCACATTGCTGACCACAGACATGGTTGGGAGCAGCCCTCAGGGCACAGGGGTGTTAGGCAGCATTTCTTCTCCCCATTGTTCAGCCATCACAGTGGTAGGGGTAGGGCTGGCTCCAGGGCAGTGAGATTTTGCAGAAGAGCACCAACTGCTGCTCCAGAGTCCTCAGCTCTGACCTAGCATCAGGGTTTCCCTTCTGTATCCATGGCTGCTGAGTCAAAAGGCTTATTGGTCACTGAAGGACAGGTCTTCCTCCTGTTGCCAGGCAGAAATAGCATCACACTGCCATGTCCCTGTGAGCACTCAGCACTAGTCTACTGAGCACTGCACAGCATGTGCCACAAGCCTGCAGGCTCCTGCTGATACAGGGACAACGAGCTGCTGACACAGTGAGGACTGCAAGCCCCAGGCAACTTCTGTGTTGGGCTGGGCAAAAGGGACAAGAGGGAAAGTACAAACACATGGAGATCTCAACCAGGCTAAAACAACAGCTATCTACAGGCAAACAAAAAAACTTCCATATAGAAAATGTTATGGCTTCAAATTAGCCAAGACTTGCTGGTAGGTGATGAGCAAAGTTTGGGACTGTAGTTGGTATTTGGATGTTTACGAGAAGCTACCAGCAGCCAACAGCCTGAAGAGCAGCCAAGAGAAGCTACAGCCTTTCAGGCAAGTCAAGCTTAGAAAGAGCTACATCTGTTTGAGCCACATCCTCCCGCATGAAACACACACCGAAAGGATCAAGAATCCAACCAGCTAACATGTCAGGTCCAAAGCCTGATCTGAAGATTATTCTTCTGCTCAAACTGCCTCAGCAGGAAGGAGAACTTCTCATGATTGTTCATGTGTGTTTCACTACTTCAAAAAATGTTACTTACTCACATTGTATACAACAAACTCCTACAAAGCAGGAGACTAGAGCAAGATCCTTCCTCAGATCCAAACCCATGCTTCTCACCTAGCACTACAAAATGCCACAAAGCTTCAATGTATTCCTAACTGGACTTTACAATTCCATCTTCTCACTGACTGGATCAAGACAACTGCTGTGCTGATATTTCAGCACCCACCAGCCTTTC